TTGATCACATTCACATGTATGTATGTGCCTGTGAATGTACCTTCTCCCAAGTGCAGGCTCACGTGAGTCGAGTTCTCCCTTGGCATCTCACGGGGAGTCTGTATACCATACATAATTAGGGCAAACAATTCGAGATGACACTGAAAGATCATATCCACTCTTGTTACTTGTAACTAACTAATTTATCATGTGTGGTTTGAAGTTTGCATAGATTTATTATACCATGCATTTGAAGATAATATTGAGCGTCGTGAGAATTTGAACACATACATGACTTCAAGAACAAACAAGCTCTTGTATCACGTCACAAATCAGTTGGTCCAAATAACTCAAGTTCATGGGAGAGGTCAATATATAGATCTTATAACCGCTTTCTTACATAACTATATCTACCTAATGAATGAGTTTGGATTCAGGAGGTTCTGTGTTCAAACCTTGGCAACCATCATTTATGTGCTATCCTCTGGTGGCCACCAACAAAGCTGAGTGCCCAACTAAATTGATCCTATGGGTTTATCGAATATTCATTCTAAAGACTGAATATAGGCACTGAAATTTGCGCGTCTTTGACGAATTTCCCTCCTAATGAAAAAAATATACATTTGCTTTGTTCTCTCCTGCTCCATGTAGACCCTAACTAACAAACTAATATGGTGCTAGTTTCTCAACTCTTCTAATTATTGTTCACATTAAGAGTCATTCATAGAAAGATGAAATCACTATACTTTGCCTAGCTAGCTAGCTATCATTAGGCATGGAAGAGAGACGAAGCTTATCGAAGGGGCGGGAAAGATGGAGGAATGAATTGGAGGTCATGTTGTTTGTGTGTGGGAGAGAAGAATTGGTTTGTTGTGATGATTAATGGACACACATGTGAATGGAGTAGGGTACGTAATTTGTCTCTCTATAAATTCCAACTCAAGGACACGACAATTGGATCCTCGATCTTTCAATATATTTGTCTTCCCCTTCCCCTTTAATATTATCTTATTCTCAGATTTTGCTATGGTGATTTTCAAGTCATCATTTCTAACAAACAACCAACGGAAGGTACAATTACCTTGTTGCAACGAGGTCGTTGTTCATGCAATACCTAGAAATCAACATGTGATCAACCTTGCAAGTGCAATCACGGGGTTCATTGTGTTTATAGTACTCTCTACGTCGTTGACTTGAGGTATGGAGATAAACCTAATTGGTTAACCTATCCATGGAGCAACCGACCGGCTTCTTTTTGAACATTAGTACATTATTTATGGTTGACCTCCATCGGTCTTCCCATCATCATGACAACCGCAGAATTGTAGCGATGGGTCCTCTTCTCTGTTTGTGGTCTTTCTAACGTATCTTATTTTTTAAGACAATTACGCACGAGGAAGCGAGAAGAATTTCGATCCTTACTGGAAGAAATGTGTTTCCTACTACATCTGAGCATCATAATTTTTGTACCGACAATCTGAATGATCGAAATGAGTGAGAAGAGAGAAATTAAGGGACTCCATTATATTAATGACATTATGAAATTTATTTGTATTTGTGAATTGAGTTCTATCTATTATGATTTGAGTTGTCTGTGGAATATTGTGAAGTGTACGTGTTTATTGTGTACTTCGGGTTGTGGATCGAGTTTTGTAGACTATTTGTTTTTCTACAACTATGGTTTGAATTTAGTGGAGTTAGCCAATCTGCAATGTGGTTTGTCAATTGTTGGACATTTTGCTTCCCAAAACCGATCAACCGGAACAAGCATCAGGTGTGTTGGTTAGCGTCTTCACTTGAAATCGGTCGACCAATATAGCAAAAACATGTATGTGTTTGCATGTCGTCTTCAATTCGGTTAAGCTGAAAACCAAGAGATCGACCTCTTCAATAAATGACTGATCGTTACGTCGATCTTAATATGTTATGTAATACAAAACCCAACGGTCCCGTTGAGGTTCATATTTCTTTATGAATTCGATCGATCTGTGGAAGCAAGCGGTCAACCTTTACTTTCCTTTGTAACGTGGAATCCATTGCAAACAAGATATATATGACATGTCGAAATGCGATCGATCGTTATCGAAAACGGTTCAATCATTTTTCTCTAAATCACTGTGATTCAAAAGTTACAATTGACATACAAAGAAATTATCTTATTATAAACAAAACAGCCAAAGAAATTGAAGCGGGCGTTAGCGAGCAAGGTTGTCAACTCGCGGGTTGACCCACGGGTCGACCCAATTTGACCCTGACCCGGTGAGAAAAACGGGCCGCACGCACTCGCCGGGATGACCGCTATTAGGTACCGGGTTGGAGGTCAAATTGTGTCATTTTTTTCTTTAGTTTGCGAAATGCGCTATTTTCCAATTTTTCTTTTCGCTTAACTCAATCTTTGGAATACTAAGTTGAACATTTGAATATTTATGTTATATAAGTGTGTGTGAATTTTCACTATATGTTGGATCTAAGTACGATATGTTATTTTGGTGTAATATTATATGTTATAGCTCATATGTTAGATAAGATTTGATATAATTTATGAGGATAAGTGCAATATAATAAGTAATAACTCTTTCTATATTTCCGGGCCAAATCGGGCTAAAACGATTGACCCATAACCCTTGACCCACTAGCTCGACCGGGTCCGGGTCAACCCGCGGTTTGACAACCTTGTTAGCGAGAGATGCATTTTTTTTATGATACGACATATCAATTTGTATAATAATGCAACAATGTGCATAACGATAAGATAAGTTAATCTATATATGTGTGAGCAGCAAGAGGCAGCATCTCGTGACATTCCAATCTCGCCATCCATACCTCTTTTGATTTTTCTTTTGTCCATCTTCAAATCCTGTACGTACCAATGAGTAGCGTTGTAGTGTGTTAGACCTAGTATTTCAAGCTCAAGCAAGCAAATTACAAGCTCAAGTGAAAAACCACCACCTTTTCAAATGTCCATCAAAGAGAAAGTACATGCTTCGTTACATGAAAAAATTAATTTGCCTGAGTTTGAAAACCATACCCGACTGAGAAACATGTTGTTTTTCAATACGATATTCACGAACTAGCTAGCTAGCCCCCATAGTAGAAACTCAATTATTTGATAATGTCTGTAACATTTTCACGAGTCTCACTTTGCTCATCCTGCACTTTTGTACAGAGTCTCTATTATGTGAACTCTCTATGAGCATTTACCATCAAAATAGAACGAGTCGACATAACCAATTGACTTAGCAATGTTGAGCCCTAGCGTTGTTGTGAACCTAGCTTGTTGAGAAATCTCTCACCAAGTAGGGTTGTTTGGGAATGTCGTGAAATAAAATGATGGAATAATCTGAAAGTATGAGAAATATTACATTGGTAGAAGTGGATAGTAAAGTATGCTTGTAGAGTCTCTTCCGACCCTACTTTATTGGTTGAGTGATTACCGGTTCGAAATTGAATTTTGGCAATTCAATTTTCATTATTGGAAACGAAATAACCCTTGAGAAGGGAATTTCCCATTTTCACAATGTAAGACATGTTGCCTCTAGAACTCTTTTTTCCAACATTCTTCTTTCGGTTTTTCTTCTCTAAGTCCCAAACACAAAAACATAAAACTCGATGCTTCCGGACATTGATCGAAGAGACTTCTGGAGGGGGGATTTGACTGAACTTGATCAACAATTTACAGTAAAGGCAAATAACACACGCTAGAAAAAGCAATCAATTCACGCCTTCAATACGTATTAATCTATTCATGTTCTAACTGAGAATCTAACAAGCTAAGGAGAGTGGTGACTGGTGATCAATTGAACTTCCACGACCACTAACTTAACTCCACTCACCATTCTCTACCCCAGCATGCATGACCAGCTCGAGTTCCTTATAATTATCTAGATTAAGATTAGCATGTAATTAACACACGAGATTAGCTAGCTGATGATTTGGAGGGATGAAAAGGGTAAAATGGCACGTGTGGAGAGAGAGAGAGAGAGAGAGAGAGAGAGAGAGAGAGAGAGAGAGAGAGGACAAAGGGTGACGGCTGGATGGGGTGGTGGCAAACAAGGGATTGATTTGGCTAGGTAGCTAGCAAGCTGCCTTGGAGGAGGATCGATCAGAGAAGAAAGGGAAGCCCCGTGAGGAGTGTTTGGAGGTATTCCCAAAATCCTATAAAAACCTTAAAAATTCACCCTCCCTTCAATTATTTCCACCATCTTAATTTCTTTAACTAATTTCGGCCCATAAATTGAAAAAAGCAACCATTGGTCACATATATATTTGTCTCCCCACATAACATGCTTCGATATAAAAATAATTTGTCTTCATATTGGTTTTCCTCTAAGTTTAATTTGTACACATCCTCTTAAATGTTAAAAGGATATATGAGTAGGAAAGTACATATTGTTTAAGTGGTCTAAAATTATCATTGAAATGTCTTTAATTGTTCACAAGATATTATAATTTTAATCGTAAAATCGTTTTGTATGGAGTTCTAATCATAATTCTAAACATCATGCAAAATTGTAAAATCTTATTACACAAATTGAACCAAATTACCTCCTAGGTGACCCAAAACAATAATTTTTTGAGTGTCTCTAAAACCATAATTGTATGAGAAATATTGTTTCGGATAAATTAAGTTATGTTTCAAAATAGGAAAATGGTATTAGTTACATTAGTGGCGTCATTCACAACAAATAAAGTTATTGCAATATATGAATTTACGACATGATATCATAACCTTATCGATCGGAGAGATATATATCATGTTCGGAATTTTTATAACCTTTGATGTTATAAGCTCAAATCATGCATGTTAGACCTCTACAAACATCAAATTCGTTATTAGCAGCGCATTTGAAATAAAAATCCGTATAAACTCGAGTTTTGATCAGTCTCCCCAACCGCTAGAATTATTCGCTGTCACATTATTCCTTCAATTAATTTCACTTCTTTCAATGCCTTACCCAATTTTTGTTTCTTCTCTCCTTTACAATGTTTGATTTTGTCTCAAAAAAATCATTTTGGCCTGTTCCTCGTCTTCTCCTTCATCACGAGCTCATGATACTCTTCTTCCCCAAACATATCAATGGAATCCTATAATTGTATATATATAGCTTCCATGCCTCTCCTTCCTTGAGATGTGTGTATATATAGCTCTAGCTGGTGAGGGGCTGAATATACAGTTAGCCATAGCAGCCAACCAGCCAGCCAATAGAAGATTCATAGAAAAGCTTGCTGGCTAGCTAGAGAGAAAGAGAGAAGAGAAACCATGGCGTCTAGGGAGAGTAAGAAATCGAGCTTACTGCATGAGAACCTGCAACTCCTTCGCTCCATTACTAACTCTACTGCAGTAATTGCTTCTACCACTATTCCCCTTTAATTTCCTCTCTCTATATTTCCTTGTTCGTGTTGTTTCTGTTCTGTATTTCATTTCTTCTGTGAATTCTTAAGGTGTGTGGTCTACTGATAATTTTTTGGTTGATATATTATCAATGGCGTTTATTGTAGTTCAAGTCAGCCACTCATATGATGAATTTATCCAATTATTCCCGGGGGGTTTTTTTTTTCTTCCGGTGGTGTAAAGTATAAACTGATCCCCGTTTGTGATTGATCATCGTCTCCCCTTCTGGTTTCAACAAACAACAATTGAAAATTTCCATCCGTACCCTATTTTTTTTTTACTTTTAATTTGGAGTAGGTTTTGTTTTTCATAGGTGAACTAAGGTGCATGACTATTTAAAAGTTACCAAGGAATTTTTTTTTATAAAACAATCATGGAAGAATTAAGAATGTACGATTTTGAGCTCAATTACATATAGTAATATTGTGATAATGATTACATTCGTCATGATCTAGGTTTGAATCGACCGTCAACACCCATATCAGAATACAATTTTCTTTCATAGACGAATAAAAAAAAACTGGATATTTTCCGTGTAACTTTTAATGTGTATATCCATTTTTCGAGGAGAATAATCAACCATTGTACAATAATCCATTATTAGCTTTTCACGACCTGGATGTGCTCGATTTGAGTTTTTGTTCTTGAATTCGATCATTGTGAATTGTTCGCATATTAAATAACGGAGCCTCGTGAAATACGAGTATCTTGCGGCAAAAATGAAGAAAAAAAAGACCATTAGGGTTTACCTAAGGCTACACTTTGGATTGGAAAAATAAACTCATTGCACTTGGATTAATCGTTGCTGCAGGTGAACAGAAGCTCAATCATAGTAGACGCCTCCAACTACATTCAACAACTCAAACAGAAGATCGAGAAACTGAACCACGACATCCAGTCAGCTGATCATCATCATCATCGTCATCAACCTTCCTCCAGCCACCGCAACAACAACAACAACATTAACCATACCGGCCAGCAGCTCCCCGTGGTAACGGTGGAAACGCTGGAGAAGAAGGGTTTCCTGATAAACATATTCTCGGGAAAAAACTGCCCCGGCTTGCTGGTATCCGTGCTGGAGGCTTTCGAGGATCTCGGCCTCAACGTGGTGGAAGCTAGGGCTTCCTGCTCCGACAGCTTCCGCCTCCAAGCCGTCGGCAGCGGCGGTGGAGATGATCAGAATGAGGAAGAAGAAGAAGAAGGGGAGCAGCAGACTATCGATCCCCAAGTGATAAAACAAGCGGTGCTGCAGGCCATTAACGACTGGGATGGATGACCTTATGGGAAATATTAATCGTCATTAAATCGATGGTTAATCCAGAGTTTGGTGGTCCAATAATGTGTTTTATGTTATGCTGGTTTTTGAGTAGAAACAAATTAGCAGTTTCAGGACTGTCACTCAACATGGCTGGGGACAGTAGTGCTACGGCAGGGCGGGGCCGCTTGTAATTGACTAATTGTCCTGTTTTTTTCATTCATTTCTAGTTTGGTTTGAATTCCCCGTGGAGAGAGCCAAATACAATCAAACATATGTGTAGTAAACTGGTGCTGTGGTTAATTTGATCCAACTGTGAATACTCTGTGTCGTATTTCGGTTACTGAAACGGCCCCAGCTGCTGTGTAGCTAGCAGACCCACCACTATGATATCGACGCATCCCAATTTAGTTTTCATGTGTTACTAAGGTTTGCTAGACTATGATGATAAGTTGTCTAGCAGTTCCCACGTGAAAAATTGTTGCTATGACTTGAAATTTGATCTATTTAATTTGTTGAACTTTACCTTTCTGGATTGGATTAGGGTTCGGTCGATTGGAGAAGGTGCTTACATATATAAATTCTCAACCCCTCTCTAATTTGTATCTTCATCGAACACAAATATAGTCAAACTCATCTTCCACACCTGTGAACTAGCTAACACACTAGTGAATCATATAAATTTGTTTGTTCTCTGCTTTCTGACAATGTTCTTTTCCCGTTCCATCACAACAAAACCCACTTTTCACCTTTTTTTTCTTCTTGCCCATATATAGGTACCCTAATGTGTAAAAGTTTAGGTACAAGAATATACTAAACATTTGTGTTTTGTAGGTCATGTTACATTACGGAAATAAGAAAAGAATGAAGGTCAACAAGTGTAAGATCCAACAATGAAAGTGTAATCTGTTTTGTCATAACAACTTAACTATATATACCTGCATGATCCGAAATGAAACGTAACATATTGAACGATGATCATTGCACCCGAATCTCTTACACAAGACAAGAGCCATTCCCATCGCGTGCGACGAGTCCATTCCATTGACCATCAGGTTAATTACGACGTGAGCATCACCACCAAACATAACATTAGTGAAGGAATGTGGCAAACTCCAACGAAAGAGCTAAAAGCTCAGTGATAAAAAAGTTCTGGGAGGAATTGACTCTTTTCACTTCTTTTATAACGACTCTTTTCAGTTTCTAGTCTAGACCTAATTACTTATTAATTAGAAAACCTTTATTAACTTAAGGAAGATAGGATGGCAAACCGATTGAACAATTTCCCATATACAGTTATACGTGCCCACAGAAATACACGGAGATCCTTATAAATAAATTCATCTGCGTATAAATATACACCAAGTACCAAGATGATACCCACATGAATACCATCCCTCTGGTCGGGTAAATACAACAACAACAAAAAACATACCAATTCAAAAAAAAATAAAAAATTTAATTTACATTATCCTCCAAAAGATTCCACACATGAACGATCGATGAATGAATGAACACGTACCAGTCCCATCACTCCACCGCAGTACAAAACAAAACCAAAACAGAGCATTATTATTGTTTCTTGTGCAGCCAGCAGCCAGCAGCATGCTGAAATAACTGATCATCGCGCCAGCTTGGCGTCCACCAGAAACGCCCTCGTGACCTGTACCGCCAAATGCGGGTTGCTGGCCACGAACGCCTCATACTTACCCGAAAAGGCCAACTCCTCCATGTTCTTCACCACGTACTTCACCGCCGTCTCCTTCAAATCACCACCACTGCTACTGCAACAGACCGAGTCCGAGATCTCCAGCACTTCCAGCGCGTTCGACGCGTCCAGCGACCGGACCATGTGGCGCTCGCACAGCCCCAGCAGGTACGGCACCTCGTACTTGTCCGCCGCCAGGGTCAGGGCGTACACGTGGCGCTCCAGCTTCTCCGGAGCCAGGTCCCCGCTGTACAGAAACTCCAGCAGGGATTCCAGCTCCTCGTGGTTTAGCTCCGGCAGCGTGATCGTGTCGTTGGCGGGGGACTTGCAGGCGTCCGGGTCCAGCATCGTCTTGAATATCTCCGATCTCGCTGCCTGCAAATGCGTGTATAATATTGAGTGTATAAGTTCAGGTTGTATCATAAAGGAATTCGTACAAAATAGTATAGATACAATCTGAAATTGTACCGTAACAATAAAAATACAATTTCAAATTGTACCATAAAAATAAAATCCTATAGCACCATTAATGATTATATATAACATTGTAAAATTTCTCGTTGTACTTACGAGTAGGGCTCTGTGGGCGGGGATTGGAGCGCCGCCGTTGCCGGGTTTGAGGTGGATGTCGGCGAGGAGTTGTGATCGGAACAGTTGGACGATGTTGCCAAGGAAATCGATTTTGTGGGTCAACTCGTTGTGTGTCTCGTTCAGGCTGTTAATCCATTTTGGGAGGTTTGCTAGTGGTTGAGCCTGCATTTATGCCAACCAGAAAAGTACCGAAGTTTGATTACTTCCAACTCCAAGGGAAGGAAAGTCGGGAGCAAACGAAATTTGGGCCGCTGAGTGAAAGTCGGCCCATATATTATCTACGACGGCCCATGAGTTGACTCGAAAGCTAACGCAAGTCAATATCGACCAACACGGGCCCGTGATAAGCCCAGGTAAGGCTGTCACTAAAAAGGCAGGCCTTTCGGCCTTCTCTAATCGTCTACATGTTAACCTCAACGAACCGGACCGGCCGGCCATGCCGAACTCTTCCACAAAGAAAGAACCCTTATTATTCTCTCTAGTCATTTCAATCGATGATGATGGCGTAAACATTACAAGTCAAACTATAAACCGTAACAACGACTCTTCTTTTGGTTCGTGCTCTTTGTCTATATTACAACCAGTCACATTCCATTCTATCGGAAACTAAAAAAAAAAATTCTGAAAATACTTGGTTTAATTTATACGTATTTATCAAATTATTCCAACCAATAACGTTTTTAATCTGTAACTCTTTACTATGTGTCAAAATACAACTTCTACCACATTGAAAGTCCGAATCGTTACAATTCATTTAGAAATTCATCTATATCCTCTCTGACAGAGAGCTCTAAATTTATTTATTTATTTGTTTCGTATATAAATGGTATAGGATTGATACAACATAAATAGAGGAGATTGAGACTAGGGTGGTATGAAATATGAATGAATTTATAGAGCTTGCCTTACAGGAACTTGGAGAAGAAGCAGGAGGAGTACTCGAATTGGCTTTATGAGTAGAATGATGGTCCGACGATGACGACGGCGGCGACGATAACGATGATCCTCTATCGCAGGAGGATTCGAACTTGTTGACGAGGGAGATGGCGGTTCGAGCCGCCTCGTAGCAGCCGGCGCAGATGGTGTTCCTCGGCGGCCGCAGAATGAGTGGCATTGTGCAGCAAATTGAGCACTCCATCTCTCTCGCCAATGGCAGACACGGCGAAGAAGAAGAAGAAGAGCGATCGATGAGAATAAGGTAGGCCGAATTTGGGAGAGAGATGCTTGTAGAAAGAAAGGGGTGGGTTGAGGCAGAGGGACTTTCCTTAAAAGCGTGGCTACAATTAAATTATGGTGTTAATTATGATTAGAATATATTCGTTCCTGCTGTTCTGATTAATAATTAATAATAATGTACAGTCGTTCTACTATTGGAACAACCAACCGTATGGATCGATGATTGCTTATAGTCGAATGCACGTAGTTTCTTATCTAAGGACAAAGGCAGTTTACTGATTGATTAAGTAGTTGGCTCCCCATGATTGAATCTCCCATACCAACTCTACTCAATGATTAAGTTTATTTCGAAAATTTTGTGATGATTTTTACTTGCAACTAATTTAAATAGTTTTATTGAATGATAAATGTGCAAATTCTTCCTTGCTTTCGTTCCACCACGGCATGTTTGTGTATTGTACGCGAGTTAGTACGTTATTTTTCAATGGCAATAGTGTGATGCTCGACTATAAATGTGAACCAGTTACGTGAAAGTACCTCTGAACTCCGAAAGTGAAGAAATGTAGGTAATTCATAAGTCCTGATAATTTGTACTCCAGGTCTCCAACGATGATGAAGTTAGTTGGGTAAAAAATATTTGAATTTGAGGAGCAGAAAACGACTTTCCAACCTATATATGCTATACCAACAGCCAACAGCCAAGCTGTTTGAGGATGGAGAGCCCCACGATATATTCTCAAACCTACAAGAGAATCACTTTCCTTGATAAAAGTTTGATGCCTTTGTTTCTACTTTGGGTTTTAAATTCAGGATTAGTGGCCAAAGCCAAGCTGTCCTCTCAAACCACCCCCACTTTGTTTCCCTCCAACTAATGAGCAATGAACTAATGATCCTAATTATATATATTATTTTCCATTTCTGGGTTTCTTTAAACTCATTTGTTCATTATTTCAAAAAAGCATGTGTAACAAATATTTATTTGTCATCTTTGTTTTTATAATGTTTCTCTTGTGGATTTGTGTATTTAAAACATATTTTTTTTTTTTTACATGTGTCTCAATAAGGAGGAAAAAAGAAGAAGAAGAGAGTTGCTTGTTGTGGACATTAAAATTAAGTTATTTTAGTTTATAGTTCGATATCCCAACCATTCAGTTAAATTTGCGTTGGCCTTTGAAATTGATATTTTCGTTATCACCCTTTGTATGTAACTTATATTATAGTGATGATTTAAAAAAGAGAACTGATCTTATATCTTATATCAATCTTTATAAGAGTAATCAATTTACAATGTTTATGAGTTAAAATGGTTTGTGGAGACGCGTTGGCATATATGGAAGAACAAGAGTAACTATTGGTTTTGCTTTGCAGAGTTGATGACTGTCCACAATTCCAATTTATTGCTTTTCAAACGGGACTACAAATCAAGACAACCTTCGAGAAGAAGAACCACGATCTTCGAAGCTGGGGGACTTTGTATAATACTGCTTATGATTAGATGGCAGCCACCACAACAGGGGTGGATTTTATTATGATTAATAAAAAATTTCATTAAGCCCTAGAGAACCTCTTCCGAAAACAATACATATAGGCTTAGCGCTCGCGCTTTATAGTACCACCAGAATATCTAACAGCGGACTATAATCTATCCACTCTAGCAAGGAGAGCTCTACCATCCGAAAACATTTTTACGTCCACAATGATCTTGTTAGCAAACTGCAACGGGTCAAAACACCCCTTCGATATAGCATATTAGCGCGAATTAATTATTGATTGCTCTTTCCCCTCTACTTCTCTCTCTAATTCAAATTCGCTCTCCCTTCTCACTAAAACTCAACATCTTTTCTTCAGGGCTGCTGCCGGCACCTCTAGGTGTCCCAGGAGGCGGCTGATGGCGTTGCTGAGTTCAATCGTCATGGTCTTGGCTGTGTTGGACGAGCTGATTCTTTGCTTGTTTATACTCTGTTTGTTTTGGAAACAAGAGGACTTCTGGGTTTGTTGTGTTCTATTTTAGAGTTTGGTCCCCTGCTGGTTTGTTTCATTTTGTGCTTTGCTCTCTGATGTTTACCTTTCAAGCATATTTTGCTTCATCGTGTTGCGGATGGCTCCTCTGTTTTGGATCCAGCTTTTCTGTTTGCTCCTCTTGTAACCGATATTTCAGAGTAAATACAAGTAAATCCCCATTGTAAGGCCAATACTATGGTGCCGCACTAAAAAGTGCGGCACCGGTGACGCCATTTTCTATTGGGCCACGTGGAGATGACGAGGCATGGGCTGGCTTTGATTAAACCCATCCAAACCGATGACCCATTAAAAGTGGTCGAACCCTGCTATCCTAATTAACAGAAAAGTGTATCTTGGCGTTCCCACAGTCGTTACATTTGTTTTTTATTTTCATTTATTAATTTTAAATGTATTAACATTAAAATTGCATTTATTTTTATTCTGAAAAAAAAAACGAAGGAAAAGGCGAAAAGCGAATCGCCGTCTTCCTTGTTCAGTCGGTCGGCAGATTCTGAAAAAGCGAACTGCCTGGTGGTGAGCGCCACCGTCGCTGATCAAACTGCATACCCTCCACCAAACTGTTCACCGTTCCTCCTCCTTGATTAACACGATTCGATTGGTTTTGGAAGATTCAGAAAACGCAAATAGAGGGGAGGACGACGACGGACGAACCAAAAGGGAGTTCTTCGATCTCCTTCGGCGAAAACGCAAAAACAGGGGACGACGACGACGGACGAACCAAAAGGGAGTTATTCGATCACCTTCACCGGCGTTCTCCAAAAGCACTTCGGGTACTTATTCGTTCATTTTTGAATCGTCGACACCAAGCTCCTGGAGGTGCCGCGGAGCAGCTTTTCCCAACAAATCAAAAAGCTTCCAGGTAATTTGAGGACTGTATATTTTTGGTTTGAAGACATTTATTCGGGTCCTGTTAATTCCTTATGCAATTTGAAGTTGTATGTCTTGGATTATGCAAGAGAGGCTGTAAACTCTTCAGACCGGGAAGCGAAACGGACCCTATTGCTGCATTCAGTATAACCCCTTCAAGCTTCACCACTTTCAGATTCTTCAAAGTGCAGAACATAGACCGGGGAAGCTTGCATTCTTCCACTCTCGCGGCGCTGCTGAAAAATGGAAGCGGTTGAGCCCTAAACCAGGCATTATTTTCCAGTCTCGCGGCGCTGCTGAAAAATGGAAGCGGAAACGGCTCAGAGAATCGAGATTCTCGAGCCGGCTGAGAACCCGGTCAACGAATCGGCAGAATTCCACGTCTCTCTTCCTTAGAATCACTGAAACAAGTATCGGCGTGGGTGAGGCGACGTTCCAGCCCAGAGGCTTGCAAACCATCCGTTTGGGTACGGCTTCGGTTCGGGCCAATTCCAATAGGTCAGTAGGCTTTAGGCTCAAATTAAATAAACCAATCAGGCCACGTCAGTGCCACGTGGCCCAATCAAAAACAGCGTCACCGGTGCCGCACTAAATAGTGCGGCACCATAGTATTGGCCCCATTGTAATGTAAAAAAAAAAATATAGCAGATTAGCAGTAGTCGGCACAACAATGCCCATACGGAATTCTGTATTTATAGATGGCCCAAATTCGTTGTGGATCGTTAGGGTGCCGATACTAGACTGGCCCGCTGCAATGAACAAGAAATTGGGCCCGTTTGTTTGTTCTTCACTGACTAGGCCGGAGCAGGGCTTTGAAGCCCGGTGCATGAATAAGTCTCCCATACCCCAATCCAATTGGTTGCTTTTCCCCCGCACAAAATAGTTGGTTTAGTTTGGTTTTTTGGCTGCAATTATTGTGATCAACGCCAAATATTTTTTCTTAAGAGTTAGACAGAGGCTTTCGATTATAATGTAGTTTTTGGCATTCTTTTTATTACGAAACAAACAAAAATCTGGAAACATAAGCATTTAATCTATGAATTAGGTTGAAAAAAAGTTAATGAGATATTCAATATATTTATTTTACTGTGTATAATCATTTCGAGTCAAATAGATACATTTGGATACGAAGCAAGTGAGTTTACTCAAATTAGACTCGATCAAAACCCAAAACTATTAAGAACGTATATTAGTTCATTCGAATCTGACTCAATATCCACATAAATAATGTCAATTAGATCAAATTACATAACAAGTTGATCCATTATATATTTCCTTCAACAATGAGATATTATCTTAATTGGTAATTAGTCTCTTCATCCTCACCATCAAGCTTCACCCGTACGTTGATTGATCCAGTTTAAGCATAACAACGATAATATATTGATCATATATACAGGACAAAATGTGTCAAATTTCCGTGTAAAAGTCTAAAAGATTAGTAAATAAATATTCTACGAAAAAAAGAAGAGGTCTAATAAATAAAAATCATTGACAAAATTTTTGAACTTGTTTAATTTTGTCTGTGGGCGTAGTTTACAACTTACAAGAGTTGGTGTTTGGAGGTCTCTGCGGGTTCGCCGGCGCACGTGGCGTCAGCTCAGCTCAGGTATCAGAACTGCCCGTTGATCTGAGATTCAGAGAGACCAGTCGGCAGATTTGATCTGCGATCTCATTGGAGCACATGTAAAAAACTATCGTCCAAGAGCTGGCTCCATTTGTTTAACAATTCCATTAGTGTTGTTTTGTTGTATAATCAAATTTCACTAGTGGTTTGGTTGGTGAGATCTGCAGTTTGCCTAAACCCCATATTATAATATAAAACATTGCAGTTTTCATATAGGCACTAGGCAGCATATTTTTGTCTTTTTCCATCTAAGGACCTTAATTATAATATAGAAAAAGTTTTGGTAGCAGTTGCAACATATTTTTGTTTTCATTCACATATAACTCTAGTTTCCTGATAGACCCACCAAATTCATAACCTATACTATACGGCATGGTGGCCATTTGGGTTAAGGAGATGTTCCAAGGTTGATCAGGTAACTTTTTTTTTAACTATGTGTTTCAACG